ATAAGGACTGACTAGAAGTTAGGACTAGTGGTTGCTCACGATATCATCTTCATAGGAGGATTGTGTAAACTATCTCCAGTTTTAACTATCAAGTAAGTGTCAGAAGTTAGTCCCAAGTATAGTTGTACATTGTCTTTGCATTTTCAGCTTTGTATAAATCTTGGTTGTCTCCTATTCGTACGGGAAACGCTGCCGAAATTTTTACAAATCTGACAGAGTTAGTCATTTCTGGATACCTGAAAATTCTAAAAATATAATTTTCATATGGGAAGCGCTGCCGAAATTTTGTAGAATTTGAGGAGTTATATTATTTTTCTGGTAAGGTGAATTTGACAAACTACCCTGACTAAGGGCAAATGCTGTCAAAATTATCAGTAATGTATGAAACTCATTGGAAGAAGGTAAGAGAGAAGTTAGTAGAGGAGTTACGCTATGACATGGAGCATGTCCTCTATCTGTCTTAAACATAGTATTGGTCCGCTTTGGCCTGACTGTGATGCATGCCTACAAATTCGATTGAAAGTTTGATTCGTTCGGCCTGACTTTATGAAGGATCACTTTTTCTGTTATATTTTGATAACAGGTCGGTTTATGACACAACTTCCCTGTTTCTGCATCTCAACCTAAAGCCTTGATTTTTGTGGGCTTTTATGTTTTTTGGAGTTATCACCCAGACTTGTATTTGAGTGACTATTTTTAAAGTCTTAGTACCTTTATTGAAGGATGGTGAAAATTGGTTGGGGCTTGTATGCATAAGGCAGGATGTGAATCGCAGAAAGCAGTAAAGTTGACTCCCTCAGTGTGTGTGATCTTGTTGTTTGAACTCTATGTGATTGCAGATATGCTTATAAGATATTTTGAATTAAGTTTGGTGATAGTCTGAGTATAATGTGAATGTGGATGGACAAGCTACACAACTGACGTGAGAGTGATCGTCTGATGTCACACAAACTTCTGCTTGATTGTTTGAACTATCCTTGCATAGCATAATTACAAAGGGAACCCTACAGTGGTTGGGAGAAATGATAGTCTCATATTTCATAACCCCTCGTATACGTATATATATATATATATATATATTCACATTTATATATATATATATATATATATACCTTGAGTAGCCGCGTGGCCTGTTACAACCGTGCGTGGGAGTTACACAAACAATGCCTTGAGAGAAAAGGGAGATCCCTTTTTTACCTCTTACTTTTACTAAGTTTTTAAAATTATTATGGTAGTCCGTGACAGCCGTCAAAGTTAAACCCCTTGATTTCTCACCAGGCCCTGGATGATAGAGTTTGTCTCCAAGGCCACGAGAGCTGACTACTACCATAGGTTGGAACCTGTGTACCACCCACTTTCCGCAGGGTGCAGAAGAGGGTGTCTAGCGTGGAGAGATTAACCCCTCAAGGCGCGTGTTAGGCGACACTTGAGTGTCGAACGTGACCCTCGTGACCACTTAGGGCCACACGATTATGGGTACTACATAGTACTCCATCATTGCAACTGCATGCGTATACTTGCATGGCTAGTCGATATGAGAAAAACTTGCGTCCGTGTGATTTTATCTTAAGTCTCACACGCAACACCTAACCGATTTCCATATTAAAAGGTTATGGGTTGGACACTGAAGGGACTAAGAGAGTTTTGTGTTTGTATGTGTACTTGTCATTTTTTTTTAGTGTGGTGTAACACGTGGTGAGTGAAATGCGTCCTAGTCGACCGACGATGAAACGTGTTGGGGACTTCAGTCCCCCAATGTGTCGATTCGCGTGCGGGTCCGATCCGGGGCGTTAATCGTGTGTACGAGGCGTGCCCCCTATGCGATAGCGAACGAGAATTACCCTCGGTCGGACCACCTCTGCGACTGTATACGAAAAACCTTCGCACGTGGTTGGGTAGCTCGGCGGGGATACGCTCACCTAAGGGATGGTGACAACTCCCTCGGGTTGAGGTAAGTTGTACCTCTCGTGAGTCGTAACCCTATCATGCCATAGCGGTTCGCTAGAGGTATGGTTGGCTCACTCGGTCGGAGCTGCAACACTCTACGACGAAGTCCTGCAAAATCCTGCGTGACACGGCCGGGAGGGTCCCCCTACGGGACCGATGCGCTCGACACTGTGTTATAAGCCTATGCAATCGAAGCGGCACTCGCTCTGCGTGACACTCTCCGCATGCACATGGATGTTTTAGGGTATGGCCTAACATGTAGTCAACACATGGAAGCTAACGAACAACTTTCATCTTCTACCCATATTAGGTTATGGTGTATGTTTATTATGTGGTCTATAAAGCGTATAAGGGTTACCCCTGTGTAGGTCCGAAGTTCACGGCCACTAGTCGCGACTGCCAATCAATCCTTCTCCGTTTGGAGAAGTAATGAATGTTGGCATGCTTTTCCAACGTTTTCTTCGACAATTCATTTTCATCGCATGATACGGTTGGTGAATTTATATTTCAGTCCCTGGGTGTTTTTTTGTTTTGCAATTTTTTTTTCTTGAAGGAATGAAGTCGTTCTTGGTGTTATGAATCACTCCAATTGCATGTTCATTGCCTCCTTGTCACATGTGTTTTTCTTGTCGTCGTTGGATGGTGTACAACGACTGTCAAATATATATATATATATATATATATATATATATATATATATATATATATATAGAGAGAGAGAGAGAGAGAGAGAGAGAGAGAGAGAGANAGAGAAAGAGAGAGAGTTGCCAGGCCGAACGTACGGAGGCCCCTAATCTGACCCCCGAACGTTCAGGCGTTCGGGTCCCCGTACGGGGCCCGAACTCGAAGGGGTTCGGACCCCGCAAAAAAATATTTTGGTACGTAAATTTTTATTATTTTTTTTCTGATTTTGTTTTTGTGAATTCTGTGTTATATAATCTACCTGTCTCTCAATTTTGAAGTTATTCTGTAGAGCCAAACAATAATGAAAAATCGGCAAAGATGCTGGTGTCAAAACTTGCTTTCCACTTACTAATTTGTTTTTTTTTTCTTTTCACTTTTTGTTTTCCCTTTATTTTGGGGTCTGAAACAAATTATCATTTTTTCAAACTTTATTTGTAGCTTCTCTATTATGTAAGATACATATGTGTAAAATTTCATGGCGTTTGACAAAACCAAACAAAAATGAAAAATCGCCAAAGGTGGCGGTGTCAAAAACTTGTTCGCACACGCAATAATTTCATTCTTGTTTTATTTTTTCTTATTTTCATTAATATTATTTAATTTTCGTATTTGATTTTTATTTCAAATTTGGTAAGGAATTTGGATGTACTGTTGAGGCAAATATTGTTAGGTTTATTCTTCTGCATGACATTTTTGTTTTTTCGGAATTTTTGGAAACCTTTTGTTTTTTTTTTTGGTTTCACGTTCGGCCGAACGTCTGAACGTGTCGAGAGGGGGTCCCAAACGTTCCGGCATTTGGGTTCGGGTGTTCGGCCCGTCCCGAACGCTGGCAACCCTGTTTTTATATATATATATATATATATATATATATATATGTATATGTATATATATATATATAAGCATAAGCAAATTGTAGCAGTGGCGCTCAACTGTTCTCACACGTTGCCAAAGAAATATCTCATCCCCCCATATTACTACACGACAACCTCACTCTCTTCAATCAGTGCACAGGTCTTTGAGACACCTTCAACAACACTTTGCCATTGCTGCTGTCGACAAGACCTCACATAACTTAGCAATCTGTTGTAAAAATTGGTACATGTCTCATCTATCTGCTCATTTGAACAGCCCTACCTATGATATGCCTCTTGAGTCTATCGCAGATATTCTGGAACATCACGCGCTCTGGAATCATCGGTGGGGATACACACACAAAGACACGCTGCCATATCTGTACTATGCACTTAAAACACACAAATCGCCCGTTGGGCTTCGCAGTATTGTCGGCGTCACAGAGCGGAATAATCTCTCCTTGCTGCAACGATATCGATCAACTGCGTCATCTGTTCATGCAGTCCACCATTGACCTCCCCACAAACCCTTGGCCAGTACTACCGTCACTTCTGCCCGCCTCAGCGTTGCACTACAATGAGTCGTTGAAACTCTCCATGAGAAGGATAATGTGTTGTATCAGCAAAGCGGTGTGAGACGGTGCTGGATCGTGCAAAGCGCCGAGGAGGTGATGCTTGATCTCAAACGTAACTCCTCTTCTCTTCGTGATCATGCTCCTCGCACTGTTAATTTCACAACTATGTATACCAATCTTTCTCATGACCGTATTTGTCATAATGTTTCAAAAGCGGTCGAGGAAGCCTATACATATGCCTGACAACAGCACACATAGGGGCGCACACATCCTCCTACCCTTAACATGATTGTTAAAGGGCCTCGTCAAGGGGAGTGGACGGTTGATATCGGACCAAACACCTTGACCGTTTCCCAAAATCTTGAACATCTTCATTTCATTGTCACAAACACTTATCTTTATGCAGCGAACGGCACCCTGCGACATCAGTTGATTGGGATCCCGATGGGGACTAATTCTGGTCCGGAGATAGCTAATTTGACGTTGTATTGGGATGAGGGTCGATTTGTTGATGACCTCCAGCGGCGTGATCTTCGCGCAGCTCAACGGTATGCGTTCACATACCGCTTGATCGATGATGTTATCTTATGGGGACATCTGCCACCACCGTCAGAGCACTATGGCCTCGAATGGAAGGAGACCACAGCGCCTGATGGCTCTTGCACATTCTTGGGTACACGCCTCCAAGTCCGCCCTGACAGCTCCCTGCGTATGAGTGTCTTTGACAAAGCAGCTGAATGAAATTTCCCTGTTATTCGTTATCCTAGTGCTACATCTAACATCCCTGCACACCAGCCGGCGGGAGTGTTTACAGGCCAGCTTACTAGGTTTGAGTATGTCTGCAAGAACTGGTATGATTTCAAAACTGCAGCAGCGATGCTCACACGCCGCATGCTTTTTCGCGGACACTCTCCAACAACGCTTGCGAAAGGATGGACTTCCTATATTCGTAAACGTCAACACAGGTMCCCTGCGCATGTGACCCGCCTCTCCAGCTGGTTCCGCAGCATGCTTCGATGGTCTATTCATCACCCGCTTTCTCGGGTATGTACACACTGTCCTCGGACTACGCCTGTCACAACCCCTTCTTCATTATCGGCGCCTGTCACATCTATCACAGCCTTTTCTTCATTACCTGCGTCCTCATTAGTTTTAGTAACCCCTTCCATGTCGTTTGTGAGCCTGGCTGCCCCTTTTCGGTTCGCAGCCTCTTCCTCATCGGCCTTGGTTGCTTCTACGATTGATTCCGCGGGAGCAACTCGACCCGCAGCTGCTGTGTCGCCTTTGGTCTCGGTGTGTTCCTCCATGGCATCCGTGGCCACCGCAGCCGTTGTGTYGCCCTTGGTCTCGGTGTGTTCCTCCATGGCATCCGTGACCACCGCATCTGTTGTGTCGCCCTTGGTCTCGGTGCGTTCCTCCATGGCATCCGTGGCCATGCCTGCATTATCACCTGCAGAGTCCCCTCTTCGGGTCTCACCTACGACTGCCCCCCCTGTCTCTGCTTCAGCCACTTCACCACCCCTGACTTCATCCCCCCCGTCTTCACCACTTTTATTTCCCCTGGTTTTATCGTCGTCTGTTACCCACCTTCCGACTACTCTACCACCCCTGTCTACACCATTCCTACCTCCCCTGGTTTTGTCTCCATCCGTTACCCCTCTTCCTAATCCACAAACCACTTCGTCCACACAGACTCCGTCATCATGTTCTGCCCCTGCAGAAAACCCACTTCGTCGTCCTAGACGCCGACTTCGACCTACTTCCCAACCTCAACTTACTCCCCTTTCCTCCATCTTTGTTCTTGGACGAAGAAGAACCCGTTCATTCTCCACACCACGGCCCTCACCAACATCCCGTCCCCGTCTTTTGCCGCCCCAAGCATCCTTACCACGCCCGACTTAAGACCTTTCTGCAACGCGGCAAACACAAAACGGGAGGGATGATGGCGAGGGATCATCTGAGGATGAACTTGGCAAGGGGACTGTAGGAGATTCTGTAGAAAATCCGCCTGACCGGCCTCCACCGAATCTGTGTGGCCTCGCTGCTACTAACATTTGCCTACAAGCCTATCGTCGATAACCATATACTCACTCTGATTTCTTGGCCATTGCTTCCGATCTTGATGCTCAGGAACGTGAGTTATATGGCGATAACCCGGCTCTGCATCCCCCACAGGATAGTAATTACACTCGATATGGAGGATTTCGAGTCAATGTCTCTGTTTTGGAGACTGCGTTGATAAGGCACCGACTTGATATGCAGCGTGCCCCTTCGGGTGGCGACCCGGACCACTATTCGCACGTTTGTGCCTATATTCTACATACTCCTGGCCACTACACCGCTCTTGTCCGTGCCTCTGGTTCTTGGGAATTATGGAATGGCGGTGCTATGGTGCAAACTATTACTGCCATCTGTGATCTCGTGCATAATTACCCTAACCTGCAACTGCTCCAGGTCATTGACCCTATGGGTACCTCGTGTACTTCCATTCCCGCCTCTACGCCTATCTCTGCGCCTACCTCCGTACCTGTCTTTGTGCCTATTTGTATGTCTCTCTCCTTCCAGATTACGGACCCTATAGGTACCTCGTGTACTTCCGTCCTCGCCTCTACACCTGTCTCTGTGCCTGCCTCCGCACCTGTTTCCATGCCCGTTTCTGTGTCTGTCTCCATGCCCGTTTCTGTGTCTGTCTCCATGCCCGTTTCTGTGTCTGTCTCCATGCCCGTTTCTGTGTCTGTCTCCATGCCCGTTTCTGTGTCTGTCTCCATGCCCGTTTCTGTGTCTGTCTCCATGCCCGTTTCTGTGTCTGTCTCCGTGCCTACCTCCATGTCTATCACCGTGCCTGCTTTAGTCTTCATTCCCCCGCATGCTGCACTAACACCTTGTGACCTCCTTCTTTGTGAGATCACTGACACAGTTACACTTGGTTGTGGAAAGCATCGACTTTATCGACATCACTACAACCATTTAATTTTTCAGGCCGGTTGTCGGTAGGGATGCCACCTGTATCCGGATTGTGAACATCCTCTGCATCCAGATGCACTATGTCCCATCTGTGCCTACGGGCGCTATAGCGAATGCGCACTTAACTGTGATCGTGAACGCCCCACAATGGTCATGGCCTGCAACCAGCATGCCCTCTGCCGTGCATGCTTCAGAGGTATGGTCGATGCTAGCCGTCCTGGTTCCTGCTGTGACAAAGTTGCTTACCTTAATGGTTTTCGTCCTATGATCAGCGAGAGGGCTGCTACCATCGCCCGCATCCTTATGATAGTTGTCCTATCTGTCGTGAGGGTCTTACTTAGACGTACCTTGCACCTTGACAAAAATGTGCAGGTGCGCTGAAAAGAGTGTACAAGAATGTGCAAAGGTGGGAAACCCTTCACTAWAACTGCAAAACAGTGAAGACTGCAGTAAAAGAAGAACATAAGTTTGTGTCGTTTTACTTTGTTTGTACCCTGCACCCTAGCACCCTCAAAGAAAAAGTCCGAAGGGTGAAAATGAGAATAAAAAGTGAAGAAGGAAGTGAAGGTGCGCTGAAAAATGAATGTGGTAGACTCTTCACAAAAACTGCGAAATTGTGAAAGAAAGAAGAATGCAGTAAAAGAAAGAAGATGTTTGTGTCACCCTTATTTTATTTTTATTTTCTCTCCCTCTGCCTATCGATTTTTCTTTTCTGCTCTTCTCTCCCTTGTGTTTGACACCTCTTCCTTCACTCTGCCTCTTTCCCATAGCGTGCAAGTGGGCTGTTATGGCATACGGGGATGGGGCCAGCTCGCGCTCAACTTCATCAACATGGCGAGCCTTGTACGTTGGAGGCACAGTGGAGGAGGCGTTAAGAAGACTGAGAAACTGAATGATTTCAATATGTCTTTGTTTCTGATTTTTTTCCTTTGATTCAATGTAAATATTTTTTGTAAAACAGTGAAATAAATAATAATACTGTGAAACAAAGTGTCATTCTGTTTTGTCTGTCTCTTTGCCTGTCTGTCCTTTCATTTTTCTTTTCTTTGCTCATCTTATTTCTTCTTCTACTTCACGTGCTCATGCTCTTAGTCAATAGTTCTGTGACGATATATACATATATATATATATATATATATATAACAATGTCGCTTGTTTTTTGTTTTTTTTTTCTCGACGGGCGTTAAACCACCACTCCCCGCGCCGCCGAAAACCCTAGGCCCTGTGAGTTAGGCGTGGCGTTTTCGGCAGGTAGTTGTCCTTTACAGTTGATCTCCCAAAGTCCCAGGCATCGCAACGACGGGCCCAGGCTGGAGAGGGTGGATGGCGGCAGATTGCACCAACAGCCTTAGAAACGGTCGAGCAGGTCCAGTGTCTGGTCCTCCGGTAGCCTCTATCAGACTTTCACGCGTTGGCGGGAACGGAACACCTGGGGTCATAAAAAAAAAAAAAAACTGGCGTCGCGGTTTTTTTATATATGTATTTTTCGTCATTACGTTTTGAAAACGGTCTATCTGATTGTTATTTTATTATCGATATGTGAGAATGTAAAAACACCCGCTCACGTCGATTGTCCGGACCGGTCATGTAGGGTTCCGTTCGTGTGGTCACATTGCCTCCCTTGGGGATAGTGAGACGACAGTCCGCCATCGCTACGAACCCCCCCAAACTCCTTCTCTTCTTCCCCCCACCCGTCATATCGACCCCGCAACCGCCCGCCTCATGCACCGCCGTACCTGCCGTTGATTTGCTAAGGCCTCATAGCAGTGGTGTGGGAGCCCTAACTGCCTTCGTGCGTGGTGTTGTGTGGGTGGTTTTGTCTTCGTGCGTAGTGCTGCGTGTTGCGGCCGCATTTTTGCCACCCACGCCATAGTCGTTCTTAATAAGTGTATGTCCGTGCATGCGTGCTGCTTCGTCTGTGTTTCGTCTCTTCTTGTCCTTTTGCAACAGCCGTCGCCACGTTTGCGCCTGCGTGTTTGGCGTATACGTTGTCGTGCATGTTCGTGTTTGTCCCCGACGGTGAAGGTTTGTGTACGTGTGTGTGTGTGTATGTGCGTCCGGGTTAGCGTGTTCGTAAGCGTCGGTGTCTGTTGTTATGCTTGTATTTCGTCGTCAAAGAATCCTTCGTCTTCGCTAGGTTTTCCTTTATTTTATTTTTTTCTGCGTTTCGTTTTGTTTCTGCCCCCTCTTATCTTCTTTCTTTCTTTCTTGCTTTCTTTCTTTCTTTCTTTTTTTCTTCGTTTTTTTCTCTCTTTCTTTCTTTTTTTCTTTTTTTTTTTCCTTATTTTGTTGGTCTTTGTGTTCCTCGGTATTCATTGGGTTTTGCTATAAAAAAAAAAACATTCTTACCTAGGGTTATTCTTTCCGGCTCGTCTGTGATCCATCATCTCCACTATGACGATGATTGATATTGGGGACGGTTGCCTGTGGCATGGTCAACAACGATGGTGACTTTTTTGCTTTCAATGGAAGACGTAGATAGATAGATAGATAGATAGATAGATAGATAAATAGATAAATAGAAAGAGAGAGAGGGGGATATATATATATATATATATGTATATATATACGTATACATATATATATATATATACATATATATATGTATATATATATATCGTCAAATAGAACTGCCCGGTAAACCGTAGGAGAGAGGGAGAAGAGGACAACAAACGAGGGGCTGTGACAAACTGTTTCGTTGGAGTTTCACCGACTCATCAGGTGGCTGAACCCTCAACAATCTGTAGAATCCCCTCACTGATTACACTGTAAGTGATAATCCACCTTAACCAAAATCAAAGTAGACTATCACTCACCCACACCAGATGGAAAACTCTACAGACTGTCGGTTCACACCCCATCACAANCTCTCCGTAAACTGCATGATTTCCCGTGTCGTGAACTCCGTGAACTCTATGACCGGCTCCGTTCACAGATCCCGTGAACGGTGAACGGGGGTACGACACTGATACTGACTTCATCTATCACAAGCAAAGCAAGCTCCCATGAAAAACCTGGAAGACCTTTCAGAGTGGTTGTGCGATCGTCAAAACAATTTTCAAATTCTAGATTATGCATTCCAATCCAACTCTGGAATGTTACGCTTGCAATCCCGATTGCCGCTTTTCCCGTCATCGTAGTTTTTGTGAGGGCGTTTGGTCGTTTTCAACGGGTGTCAAACACCTGAATTGCATTTATGACATATAATTTCCCTGTGCGTCCCTCACCTGTCAGGAACATTAGCATTTGTTAGCTGACAAAACGTTTGTGGATTGTTTGAAGAGTCGGCCCCTCGAATGATTCGTCAAGGTCGAATTGGTTTTGCCATGTCTTGAGAAGAGTTTCTACAGTTAAGGCGAATTTGATATGCTAACGACGTTTTAGATGAAAAAATTCAAATAGTTCAGAAATTGTAAGGAAAAACGTGTTTTTTTTTCCCGCAATAGGTGGCAGGCTCGGAAAATTTTTTATTATGCATTTCAAGTGCATCATTGATTAACTGTACTTGGGTCTGTTGAGGAAATATACCACAATCGGCATGGTCGAAATCGACATCATGAAAGTGAAGGGCTTCATGTTTTGCATTCTTTAGTCAGTTCTGCACAAACCTGACATCAGATATGAATTATCGTCGAACAACATTTTGAATAGGTAAGGTTGTATCAACGGCAACAGCATACGTTGTGGTCAGAGTTTGTGCAGTGCGACCTAGGAAGTTTTTTTTAAATCCTGGGTTCAACATTGTTTTTTGTGGGTGTAAAAGAATACTCGGGAAACATCGCAGGTCGTTCAATAATTTTATAGAAAATGCACATTCCAACGGTGGGAGATTTTGGTTATCGAGAAAGGATGGAACATGTATATTGGGAACGGGAAATTCAGGCAGATCGATGTTGTCATCATCTCCATCATCAAAATCGGATGTAGGTGGTGTTGGTATATTCCGGGCAGCGTATGGTAGGTGGTTATGATGTGTTTCTCTTGCTCGTGCACGAGCAACGTAAAAGTTTTGCATTTGGAGGTATATTGTACAGAAGAACGAAGACATTTGGTCATAAAAGTTTTCAAGAGCAGTATGTCAGTCTTGCTCTGGAAAAAGAAGGTCGGACAAAACCCTAAAGGGTTTGAAAAGCAAAAGTGACAATTGAACATGCAATTCTTGTGCAGGGTGTATGAGCCTCACGGAAATCGGAAATATGAGAAAAATGTGGAATCACTTGGATGTGAGTTGTAATATGACGTCGTAAACATTTGTTTTTTGAAAGAGGGTAGTTGGTGAGAAAGTTTCTGTCAGGAGATGCATTGTGTGCCTTATCAACACGAAAAAAACACATGAGAAATTTATAAAGACATAATGGCGATAATTGTGAAGGGCGATATATAGTCATGTAGCGACTATGTGATAATGTGAGAATTTCCACCGTCTTTTAAAATACAGATAGTATCTGCATCATTCAACAATTGTTTGAGCATTTGCTTTAGATAAACAAATTTGTACCAATGACTTTTATATGCACAAAATTGATGAAGAATGTACAAAGCACAAAGAAGGTCCTTTATTTCTTGTTTGTTAGTTAGTGTGAAAAGTTGCGAAGATATTCGTCGTCTCGCCTTGGCATCATGAGGAAGTTTTTCATCATACTCTGCCAATTTTTTCGTTTCTGCCGGATGTCAAAAGCAGTCACTCGTAAAGCAACATCACAATCGACTCGATATTGACTTTTATTTGTATATCTGCAAGAATAATAAATACGGTCAGCTGCATTTGCACCGCCGAGCAAAGGTTGAATGTTATGGTTACATTTAAACATTGCAAGAATAACATCGTTATAGTTATTGATGTATTCA